GTTTTTTTCTAAAAGATTTCTAGATTGTCTATCCTTACAGTATTTGGAAATTCCATATTTGGTAATAATCCTGACTGAAATACAATTACTACCATCATCATAATTTACGGCACTAGTCTTTAATGTATATACCTAATAAAAAACAAAAATCCTTAAAAGGAAAATAACTATTGCTTTCTTTGATAGTTAGAATGAATTAGTCTATACAGAGAAAAACAACTAAAAATTTCCTCAATTTTTAAATTACTTTCTTATTTTCAATCAAGGTCATTTCTTAGTTTCTTTAACTTCAATTTGAGCAATTTGACCATTCCATTGATCTTTTAATTTCCTGTTTTCCTCCTCTAGTTGTTTAATTCTTTCTTCTAAACCCTTTACATTATCTAATAACTCCTGTTTTTGCTTTTTACCTCATTCTTCTGACTTCTCTTGAAATTTAGCCACTTCTTCTCTTTCAATTTTTAATTCTTCTTTGGTAATTGATAACTCTTTTTCTAGTTCTCTAGTTTTACTTTCTAGGCGAAAACTGAAAGATTGGGCAACTAATTCCCTGTTAGTAAGAGATTGGGTTTGCTTCTTCTTTACTTTATGACAATAACACCTACTTTTATTTCTCTTTAACCTATTGCATTTTTCACATCGTGGAAGAGTGTTGTTGTCATATTCCACCTTACACTCCTTACAAATAAAAGCTATGTCAGCACTACTACCATCTTCCTCTAAAGCTACCATTTCATGAGTAGCAGGAGCAGTATCAAAATTTAGATTGGTTGGATCATCATAATCTACAAAGCAACAATGACATTCTTGTTCATCCCTTTTGCTAACTCCAAAACTCTATATTCTAGCTTCATATTTATTACTTGCTTTTCTGAATAACAAGTGTTTGAAACTTCACTTGGTTTTTTCCTTTACTTTGCTTACAGCTGTTTGATTTTTAGTAATCTGCTCTTTTTTTGTTGTTTAGGTAAGGCTTGCAGTTCTTTATCTTTATATTTTTCAATGGTTTGTTCTTTATTTTCCAATCAATGAATATTGCTTTTTAGAACCTTTATTTCATCCAAAAGTTCTTTTTCTCTAGAATCATGTTTTGCAACTATTTCAGCTTTTTGTCTTTTGATTCATTCCTCAGATGTTTTGTGAAACTTTTGTACCTCTTCCTGCACTATTTCTACTCTTTCTTCTAACTCTTCTACTTGTGCTTCCAAATTTGCTTGTTCTGTTTCTAATTCCTTAATTCTTTCGAATTTACTTCTTAATGATAACATCCTTAGCTGGTCTGCCTCAAATCTCACCTCCTTCTCTTATTAAATAAGGAATTTTTTCACCTTCAACTTGGAATTGATTACCAACAATACCTTTTTCTTTTAGTTCTTCAGCTAAATTACTTTCTTCAAAAAACTTTTTAATAATTTCTTCAATAACTTTTTCTAGATTTTCTTCATTTCTTATTGTATAATTATTAGCAAGACTATGCTGAAAACAAACATTCATAAACTGTTTTCTTAATAGTTACTAATCAATTCTCTTAAATCTTGTTCAATATTCTTGCTACAATGAGGAAACCTATTTCTCATTTCTACTAATATTTGGTCAATCTTCACTAATGCTTCTTGTTTAAATTCTTCCTCTTCTTGTTCACTTACTTCTCCTGGATTTTTTAATTCATTGATTTCTTGATCTTTATCAGTTAATTGCTTTTTAATAACTTCGATTTCTTCTAATAATTGTTTATTTCTCTTTTGGAGTTCATTTATTGTGTTTACCATGTATTTTTTTATTTTTTTATTTGCTCTTTTAATATACTTATATCCTTTTTATGATGATATATTAAGTATATAAATTATTTTAGCATGTTTTTACTTTAAAGATGGAAAAAGCTAACAATATTTTTCAAAAGATTTAACTTATTAAAACTTAATGACTGTAAAGGACAAATTAACTAGTGATGGAGGTGATGCTATTCTGAATGTTTTATTTGTTGCCAGTATAGAATGGTCTTGGACAAGTAATATCTTTGTATTCATCTTTCACAAATGGGCGAATATTATTATAAAGGTATTCTTGCCTTTTGTAATCCAAAGGAGGTGGTGTTAATACTAAAATAGATAAAGCTCTAATTTCTTCAAAGATATCTGCTTTCTTGGTTTTCAATAAATTGAATTCAACAAAAGGTCCATTAGCAACTTCTTGAACTTTGATAACACCAAGGTTAGATGCTTCAAAAAGAAAATGGTGTTATTTCTGGATACTTGGTAATTTCTTAAAATAAATTCCCAAAATAGCTTTAATATCTAAGTATTGAAAAACTTTTCCACCTTCATAACATTGGGCTTTATTCAACCCTGCTGGACTAGACTTTTTTATTACCTCAACATATGACCCAGACAATCTACCCTTGTTTTTCTGTAGAGTTTTTTTATTAAACCAAAATTACCATCACATTTAAATTTGGTATGTCCTGGAATCATGAAATTCAATTCAATACTTTCATAATATCCACAAATTACTAAATATAAATAAAATCAAATAGTAGTGTTATTTTTATTCTGACCACCAGCATTATCACAAGTAATCTTTAAATGCTTTTCACCTTTATTCAATTTCTTAATTCCATCAAAAATCATACTAAGAGTGCCATTAGGACCTTTTCCTATAATTTCATCTTCATTAAGAACATAATTAATTTGTTCCCTTACTGCTTCATCTTGAATACCAAATAAATGAACCTTACATGGACTAAGATAATAAATTTTACTTACCTGTTGATCAGAATGTGGTACATGAACATTTTGGGCTCAATCATAACTATAATGAGCAGTGGCATCAATACTACAATATGAAGTTTTACCCTTTGAATAATGTTGATTAACTAATTTCCTTTGTTCTTCTGCTAACTTGGTATTTTTATTATAATAATTTCTTTCTATTTTTGCCTCGGATAGGTGTTCTTTAAATCTTTTGAGTAAATCTTTAGCTTCTCCCTCTTGGTGAGCATTATAATGTAAACCATCTCTAAAATGCTGACAAGTATCACACAGATCAGTCCTGGGACTCATGATTTGAATTTCTGGTGTCAATTGATGTCATAACTTCCTGAATGCATCATACTTCAAAGATTTCAAATTACTATCTTCTTCTAGACCAGCTAGAAAGTCTCTGTACACTGATTTATAACTCATTTCAGCTGGTAAAAATATAACTGATTGGGTTATTCTATTACTATTGATACTTCTTCATGGACTTGATAATCCATGAACTTCTGCATAATTTTCCAGAAAATTCTTTACTACTTCTGCAACATTTTTATCAATCACCATTTTGGTTTTTCATCAAGGCATTCATTTTATGTTACCATGAATTCTTGGCAGAAGACCATTGTTTATCAGGTGATTTCTAATATTTTCAAAATAAGTTCTGCCAATTCCCAACATATTGAGGTAAGTTTCTTGACAAAGAAGTGTATTGTGATCTCAATGGTAGAAAGTTCTTTTATTAGATCTAGTTTTCTTCTTAAGGCATCTACTATTGCTTATTGACCCACCATCCATTGCCTTAAGTTGGGCCATTAAAAATATGTCTTGCTCTGTTTTAGAAAGAGCTTGAAAAGATTCCCTTAATTCTGCAAATTCTTCCTTAGGAATTCTGGAAAAACAACCACATTTACAACCTTTTTCTAAAAAATCAATTGCTTTTTGATATTCATTAGAACCATTTATTTACTATTACTTTTCATATACACTTATCCCTATATATATAATTTTATGTTCACTTTGTATTATTTTTATATTAATAGTTTTAAAACAATCTATTAAAAATAATTTCTTTTATTAATTTTTCTTTTCAATACAAAAGTCCTTTAAATGTTTATTTTACATATAAATAGTAGAAACAGATTATTCAGATAATTGTAGATGTTAGTGTCTCTCATATCAACTTTTAAAGTTAATACTTACATACACAATGTGCAACGACATAAAAAATCATGCTTCATTTGTTTGAGGTATCACTTGCTCTTTCACAATTTTACCATGTGTTACCGGCATTAGATTTTGGTGCAGATTTTTTGGTTGAATTCTTAATTCCGGGACAATTTAAATTTTATTTTTTATTTTTTTATTTAATCTATTCTTATTTTCATTATTTTCATTATTTTATTTTATTAATTCTATTTATTTATCAATAACGTGTATAATTATTTATTATCATCTGAATTTGTGTTACATTTCGCGTATTATTATTATTATTATTAATCAATCCGTAGCACATTCATATTTATTTAACTTTATTTAGTAGAGATTAATGACGATTCGACCAAAAGATCTGCGTCAAAATCTAACTCCGGTAACAATACCAATTGGAAAAATCCCCCCAACAAAAGGTGAAATGAAAGCAGAAGATATATATAATTTGTTAATTCAAGTCATTCAAATGTATAGTTGTGGACAATTTATGGATACAATTGACAATTTGCAGTATGTTTAAGTGCAATATTTTCATATATATTATTATTGATTTGATAATAACTGATTCTTAAAAGTGACTAACAATTTTTATTGAAAATCTCCAGGAGAAATATGAATATGAAATAGGAAATTTCTATAATGATATTAATCAAAAAAGAGATGATGTAGAATCCACCAATCATAATTGGTGTAAGCCTACATTAGGAACACTTCAATTTAAAAACTCATAAGAAAATAAATGATTTGAATTTTATTTAGCAAGAATTTTAATATAAACAACATACTAAAATTATGATTTATGTTGCTAAAAGGACTAAAAAGAAAAAATAGATAGATAAATATGTAATAATAAGATTCATTGCATTTTATTTTACTTTTTCCAAAGATTTCTGCTTTTTGTTTTGGTAATAGCACACCTTCATTCTGTTTCCTTCTCCTAATGTTTATTATTTTTCTTTCTTCTTGGTAAATTTCATAAGTAATCCTTTCATTCCTTAGACAAGCTTCCAGTATCTGAGTATCATTTATTGTGAAAAACACAAGGAGCAATTTTTTCACCTTGTTCTTTGGGCACTATGGTAGATCTGATATAAATTAGTTTTATATTAACTATTTTTACATAAAGATAATTCTATATATCAAAGAAAAACAAAAGATAACAAATGCGAGATTTAATAATCACATTACAAATTTTTGATTCCTGAAATTCCGATATTACTTTGTCTGGTTTAGTTGCAGTATGCACTATTTGATTTTTGTTCAAAGTCACTGTGATAAATGAAATGTTCATTATGCTTAAAAAAAGGAAGAATCAACAAAAATTTGCATTTATTTATTATTATTATGTAACACAAACCCGAGCACGCAATTTCCTATACTGATTTCGGCGACAATAATAAAGGAAAAATGCAATAATCCTTTTTAGGAATTTGATCCCAGAAATTTCTTTGTGACATTATAATTGTTATTATTGGTTCATTAATGGGGCATACTGAAACACGGTTAATTTAAGCTAACTTTAAAAATTAAAGTCTGGAAACAAATGGAAAACATTGTAAAACTTTATAAATATGAATAGTTCATTGAATTGTTCGGAAGGGAAAAATAAAATTGATTTGAGAAGAAATTTTTATTTTCTTGATGAAAATATAAAAAATTAGAAGAAATGGTGGAAATTGACGAAAGAAAATTATTTTTCAGACGCCAAAGACTTTTCCAATTACTAAATACAGTATTAATTATTTTTCTGGGTAAATTCCGTGAAAAATTACAAAGAATAAATCAAACAAACAACAAATATTTTATTAAATATTTTTATTTATTTCTAGAAATAATCCAATTGATTACATTTGTGGGCTTTAATCAAGATAGAACAATATTCGACTATTATTTCTCAATAGAAGTGTATGTTTTAAAAATATTTATTAATGTATTTAATCGTTGCTAATTTATTAATATTTAATTGTTGCTTGCTAATTTTTTAATTTAATTAATTATTATAATTTCTAGAGTTCAAATATATGGATTGAAATTATTTTATCATTTATTGCTGGCAATAACGCTAATTGACATATGTAAGAGGACAATATTTCTATTAACGTTATTTTTTAATAATATTTTTTTGCTAACATATTATTATTTTTAATTAAATAGTATATTTCTATCTAAGATTCAAATTTCGATGGTTAAGTGGACCATATCAGTCTGACATATTCAATGACATGTATGCTACAATTGTTTGTTTTATTAATAATTATTATTTTATTTATATTATTTATCTAACAATCTTTAAAATGATTTTTTAGAGCACTTTTTTATTTATGGTCTGCAGCTGGTAATTTTTCAATGTT